AAGAAAATTACTGTTAAAGAGTTTGTGAAACAGTATGGGACAATTCTTCAGAATAGGTATGAAGAGGAAGCTATTGCAGATTTTGATACATTGCACAAACAGCCAGCACTCAAGTCTCCTTCTCCTTGGGAAAAACAAATGTCAACTGTTTATACACATGCGATCTTCAAGAAATTCCAAGTTGAAGTCTTGGGTGTTGTTGGTTGTCATCCCAGGAGAGACGGTGGAGATGGAAGTATTGCAAAATTTGTAGTTCAAGATTGTGAGAAGGAGGAAGAGTTTTTGGTCACTTGGAACGAGATGAACTCAGAAGTTTCTTGCTTCTGTCGATTATTTGAATATAAAGGTTTCCTTTGCAGGCATGCGTTGAATGTTCTCCAGCTTTGTGGCTGTTCAAGTATTCCATCTCACTACATTTTAAAAAGGTGGACCAAAGATGCAAAAAGTAGGGTATCAATGGTAGATGGAACTGAAAGGATCCAAACTAGGGTGCAACGTTATAATGACTTGTGTAAAAAAGCTATTGAATTGAGTGAAGAAGGATCCTTATCTGAAGAGAGTTATGATGTTGTTTTCCGTGCACTTGTTGATGCCCTGAAAAATTGTGTGCATGTAAATAATTCTAACAACAATAATGCAGAAACCAGCAACAGTTCTCTTGCCCTGCGTGAAGCAGAAGAAAATCAGGTTAACATTGTGACAAAAACAACTAAAAAGAGGACACCAGCTAAGAGAAGAAAGGTCAGTTCCAACCTTACCAGTAGACCTTTTACGTTTTATTTTTGTTGCTTTAGCTTTTTAGCATGTAATAAAGGGAAAATTGATTTGAGAACCCTTATACAGGTACAAGTAGATACAGACATGATACTTGTCGAGGCACCAGACAGCCTGCAGCAAATGGTCTGTGTTACTTTTGTTTCAATTATGGTCATATATGGCTTTCTGGACTTAATAGACAACATTCAATTTATTAAGAATTGCAGCAAGATTATGTATATCTTCCCCATGATCCCATTATTTTAAAAATGGAAAAAAGATCTATTGCATTTAATTCCACATTCTCCTGACTATGTAACTTTCATTCTCTTAGGATAACCTTAGCTCGGATGGAATGACCCTTAATGGATATTATGGTGCCCAGCAAAATGTCCAAGGACTGGTATTTACTAATTTTCGTCCTCTACATACGTTTTCTACTTTTAGAAATAATAATGAACTGCTTAACCAATTATCTTGGATTTTTTGGTAGGTACAGTTGAACTTAATGGAGCCTCCTCATGATGGTTACTATGTCAATCAACAGAGTATGCAAGGCCTTGTAAGTCATCTAAGTCGCAATTACAATTATGGTTTATACGTATGAATTAAAGTAATGTGATTACATGGCATTTTAAATCAGATTTGTATATCCTTGTAGGGTCAATTGAATTCTATGACCCCAGGCCACGATGGGTTTTTCGGGACACAGCAAAGCATTCATGGGCTGGTAGAGTACTTTGAAATTTTCATTCTTGGGGAAAATACTTGGAAATTTATTCATTTGAGTAACTTCAACATGATAAAATTTTGAATTCTCCTAGCTCTGTTTATGTAGGGGCCATTGGAGTTTCGTCCACCAACCACTTTTGGATATACCCTGCAGGATGAGCCTGATCTGAGGTCTGCTCAGTTTCATGGCAGCAGTTCAAGAAATACATAGGATTTTTGTCTCCCCACTACAGATTTGATAACTTCCTCATGGAGGTTGTCAAGTTTCCATCACTGAGAATGAAAGATCTCAGGCGATTCTGTATCTTCACAGCAATACGTGTAGGTTGCATATAGTTCAACAGTATCTGAAAGTGATTTGAACTTTAAGTTCCTGTAATTATCTTTCCAGTTAAGCTTTTTCTTGTGTATATAGATGAAGGCAGTCCATTCACCTTCCATGATATACATGGAAGGTGCAAATCGTAATTTTAGGTTGAGATATATAGGCTCCAAGAGGCATTGTTTTTGGAGCGTCTGTGATTTATAGTTAGAGAATATTTTAGTTTCATTAGTTCCTTGAGTCATGTTGAATTGTAAGATTCTCTTTGTTCTTCCAAAAAAGACTTGCTTAAATTAGACAATTTTAGTTTATATATGTTCCATGCTTTCCTACTCTCTCTCTATTTTTGCGGGTATATAGCAGGGTTGAGACTTGGAAACAAGAAAACTAACCACACGCGAGAGAGAGAGAGGGAGGGAGGGAGGAGGGAGGGAGGAGGGGGAGAGGAGAGGGAGCGAGAGAGAGAGAGAGAGGGAGAGAAACACCTCGTAAAACTTTACACATTAAGCTAAATAGCTTCTTAAGAGGACTATATTTAGAATGAGAAAGCCGATTTTAAAGTTGAAATTATGAGAATATTATGTTCCAGAACTCGTTGGAAATAACAAATCTAAAGTTTTCCTTTCATTTCATATATATGTAAAACTTTATTGAACTTTTTCATATTAATCTAAATCATATTTGTTGCAATACATAATAGTAGTAAGGTACAAATCAAAGTTCTAATCCGATATTGAGGCCACATTGATTTTGATGATTTAATATCTACCCATGAGTTTTTATTTTTTCAAAATATTTTTCACCTTTCAAATTTTGAGGTAATATTGTTATGATTTAAAATTTTTAGGACAAATGTATACCTCAAAAAACTTGTTACTGTTCAAGGCTTATAAGTGAAAACTTTTAGTACAAATTTATACCTTAACCTTTTATAAGATATAAAAACTATGCAACCAAATTGGAGTAGTAGAAATCAGAAAATGGGGAATTAATAATTTGCATGATAAAGTGCTATTCAATTTCTTCTTAATCAATAAGGACAAGTCATATCTTTTATGGTCTAAGTAATTACTGCATTAGCTCATATTTTTTCTCGAGCGTGTTTTTGAAAAACTTATTTTCTCTAGCATTTAAAGGAAAACTGATATGAAAAAGAAGTTAAAAATTGTATTTCAATTTAAGCATCTAAGAGGTCAAAATTTTAGAGGAGGAAGTGGTGCTTGATCTGGTATTTTGTAAATATAGTTAAATAACCAAAATGTCTTTGTATCAATTTTTTTCTCCAAAAAAAGTTATCAAACTTATCATTGCCAGTATATTTTTTTATAATAGAAATTGTCAGTATATTTCTTGTTATTGGTTGTTTAGCACTTTTATTATCAATTCACAACTTATTAATAAATAACTTATCATTATCAATACATTTATTGTCATTTATTATTTAACATTTGTCATTACTAGTTTACAACTTATTAATAAACTTTTTGATACCAGAACATTTTTGTCACTTAATTATATTTGCAAAATACTTCAATTAACTATATTTGCCAAATACCATATCAAACGTCACTTCCTTTCTTAAGATTTTGGCCTCTTAAGTTTCTGAATTGGAGTATTATAATTTTCAACTCCTTTTTATGTTATTTTTTCTTTAATGAATACTAGAAATTAGGAACAGATGTAACGTTTTCTTTGTTTTTTCTAGCCAAAATGTAACGCTCCGTTTGGATTTGAACATTTTTTTTGGGGCCAAAATATAACGTTTTGTCTCTATCATTTAGAATATATTTTCCCAAGAAGTCAATAATAAGTATGGAAAGAACAAAGTGCTTCTTGCGAGTCGGGAAAAAATGGCAAAAAAAAAAAAAAAAGCACTAAAAAAAAAACTAATAGAGCAAAATTAATTTAAAAGGACCGTTAGAAGGCGAGGGGCAAGTACCGTAACGGCTAGTTTTTATTTGTAAAGGGAAAGATCGCCTTATGCTGTGCTCTCAAGAAACACTTCCATATCGGCTATTCATATTTTCGCAGGGTGCATGCATTCTGTTCGATTTCCTTTTTTTGATTGATTGATTCCTCACTTCCATATTTTCTTCTCTATCTCTCTCTAATTTTACGAAAGGATTCGCCATGGATCTTGGCTGTTTGGACCTCGGTTGTGTCTCCCCGTCAGAGAATCAGCGTGCTGCTCCAGAGGCCTCTCGCAATTCCCGAACTAAAGAAGAAGATTCCTGCGGCTTCGTCTCCGCAAATTCCAAGATTGGGAAGGCAAGTCTTCTATTCGTTTCAATTACTATGTCAAGATACCATTATGTGTTTTGGTGCTTCTGTAATGTTTTGTTCTTTCTTAGCCTTTTGGATTCATCGTGACCTAAGTGTTCAACAAATAAATCAATCTTATGTTTAAATTGTGGATTTAAAGCCCTAGATGCATGACCACAGCGTCGCAAGTTTGAACGGATTCGAAACTGTAAGTGGACGAACAGAAGGAATTCCCGGTCGATTAAAGAAAGAAAACTCAAAGTGAAATTGGAGAGCGATAAAGGAGATGAATTCATTGTTTGTTCATAGTTCAGAATTCATTGCTTAAAATGAGGGAAAGGGAAAGAATCGCAAACTTTTTTTTGTAGTCATGGAATGACCTATCTTACCGTGTCCTTTGTGGCATGATAGCATTTCAGTGAATTTAAGTAAAAGTGACAATCATACTCGATGAAACTGCTGGCACCTATCTTACCGTGTCCTTTGTGGCATGATAGCATTTCAGTGAATTTAAGTAAAAGTGACAGTCATACTCGGTGAAACTGCTGGCAGTTTATGTTGTCTTTTTGTATATGCATTCTGGGGAGTTCGCTTGATTTCTTTTCCTTACAGCTGTTCTTTTTCTTTGATTTTGAGCAGAATAAACAGAACAAAGAGGCTAGCCAATCAATATCAAGTGCTCTTAGCAAGTTCTCGTTACAAATTAAAAAACCTCCACATCGTAAAACCTCTCCAGTCAATTGGTTCCCTCGCAAAAAAGTGGACTCCTACTTGAAGAGGAAAATTAAAATGTTGCAGGTTTGTAATAGAAACATATTTCTTAAGTGAATCATATTATTTCCTAATTAAAGAGCTAACGTATCTAATTTTTTCTTTTTCAGGAAGTATCTGGTATGAATTTGACACTCGATCAGACTCTGGGAAGTTCTAATCCACATTATTCAAAAGTACTCAGAGAGAAAATGGCAGCAAAAGAAGCGGCACACAAGGCAATGGAGTCTCGAAGAGCTGCATTGGTAGAGGCTTCTTGGTGTCGGATTCTAAGAGCTGCCAGGTGAAATGTTTCCCTTTAAGAATATATGATTAGGTAGTCTTCACATTTCTATATCTTACCTTGTATTGCTTTCACTTTTCAGAATTCCCAGTGATGATGCAGAAGCTCAACTTTCAAAGGCAGAAAAAAATGCAATAGAAGCTTTTGAAGCAGCCCAGGCTCTAGGAGTTATCATGTATGACATGCCAAACTGCCCCAGGAAGCATTGCCAGATAGAGGCATCTACTGTTACTAGTGAAGGATCATCTACCCATGCCGTTACTGCATCGTTTGAAACTGAATTTGAGGTAGACAAAGAAGTAGCGGCTGCAGTCAAAACTGCTTTCATAAGGCTAGCAAATTGCCCTTCATTTAAGAAAGGTGAATTCAGAGAACTTCTAAGAAAAATTAGTCAAACCCCAGATACAGATGATGGTTCTCAAGACCTGCATGATTTCTCCTCCGAGTATGAGTCTGAGTCTGGCTCTGAACATGATTTAGTCTCTCAAAATGGTGACCTCAGCTCTCAAGACTTGGACACAAACGTGCCTGCTCTGGGAATAAGTCAGAGGAAAAGCAGGAGGAGACAATCTCTAGACAAAATCAACAGAATAAAGCTTGTGGACATGATGATTGAGAGGCTAAAATGTTTGCAAGAAGATGAACTTTCATCTCTGGCCACTATAGTTGCAACTTGCGGTTTAAATTCTGTCTTGGCTGAAGGACAGAATGTTAAACTGGGCTCTGCTACAGATAATAACTCCTCTTCAAGCGTAAATTTTCCGGCAAGAAGGATGTCTACATTGGGATCAAGAAAGTCTGGTTTTGTCAAGGACGGGCAAGTAAGAAATAAGCAAGTTGAGTCAGAACTGCCGAGTCTAGATAAGTTTTTAGTGAAGCGAATGACTAAACTTGAACGAGAGATTCAAGAAGCCAAGAATAGCAGAAGGAATGAGAATGAGAATGACAGGGATGGCTCTCGTAAATCTGTTGATGGAACTCTATCTGAGACCACCCAAGACTTGGGAAGCATTCTTGTGAAGAATTATTCAAAATTTGAGAAAGACATAAAAGAGGCAAGAAATAAGTCCGAAAAGGATATCTCAATGCCAAACCGTCAGAAAGATCATGCTGAAGTACCGAGCTTAGACAAGTTCTTAGTCAAACATGTCTCCAGACTCGAAAGGGAGGTCGAAGAAGCGAGAAGCAGAAAGATCAGTGAAACTAAAAATTTGAAGACGAAAGCTGATGTGACTACCATAGGTGGAATAAATTCTCATTCTTGTTCTGATGGATCGTTGGAGGAGAAAGAGAACCTGGATTCAAATAACCTTTCGAGTTTTGAGACAGAGCAAAATGGATGTAAACTCGATGCAGATCCATCTTCAGTTGACGGCGCGAATAATGAGATTGAAGATGACAAAGATAGCCTGGACAAGATTCTGATAAAGCCAGTGCACAGATTGGAAAGAGAGAAGATTCATGCCATGTCACTGGGAAGCCATGATGAAAATTATAGACAAAGAAAGAATCAGGGAGTAACTAATGCTGCAGATTATGAGAGCCTGGACAAGATTTTAGTAAAGCATGTCTCCAGACTTGAGAAGGAGAAAATGAGGCTCAGGTCAGGGGAAGACAAGTTCGAAGTCAAGCGAATTCAACGAAACACACATTTAGAGACAAATGAAGAGGGCGGTCTCGACCAGATCTTGATTAAACATAAATCCAGACTTGAGAGGGAAAAAATGAGGCTCAAGCCAGAAGAAGAAAGTCTAGTAAAGAGAAGTCAAAGAAGCAACAATATGCAGACAAATGAAGAAGGAAGTCTGGATCAAATTTTGATTAAACATAAATCCAGACTTGAGAGAGAGAAGGTGGTTGCCTCCCAGCAGCAACAAGAGAACACAATTAGTCACTCAAAGGCCCGTCGAGAAGAAAGGGAAAGAGAATTGCAAGAAGCATGGGGAGGATTAAGCTTAGGAAACTCCATGAAGCCTAGTCTCTCTAGGCTTGAGCGAGAAAAGGTTAGTCTTAACAAAAAAATTTATCTGATATTCCCAAGTTTCTCTGATTTTCTATTTTTGACTCTGTTGGTTTTATTTTGCCTAGGCTGCCTGGATTAAAGCTGAAGAGGAGGCAAGGAGGCAAGCGATGAAGGCAATATGAACAAGACTGTTTTTTCCTCCCTTTTGTTGATAAAAACGTGCCTTTTTCCTTCAAAGCAAGGATCATCAACTGTCTGTTTCTTCTTCGTTGAGGTTCTGATTTAATGCTTACCACACCTTTATTAGGTTGACTAAGCAATTGTACGTATGCTTTCTTTTATTTCTTCTTCTGTTGGGCCTAAATGTAAATGCCTTCCGTGCCAATCATACAAATTGTGCACTTTTTCCTCCAAATCATATGAGCAAATGTCGCCCAGTCTGGAAAATGAGATACCTTGTAATTGATACTTCCGTTTCTTAATATAAAAAGCATTAATTAACCAATTTGGATAAATAAAGAAAGGTTATTAAATTAGTTATTTATGACAAATATGAGTTGAATTATCTAAAATATACTTTCGGTTTTGAATATAAGAGCGCCACTTAACTAATGTGGATAAATTAAGAAAGTTTGATAAGTTAGATATTTATTACAAATATAAATTGAATTATCTAAAATATTTTTTTTTTAATCATGGCTACTCTTAGATGAAAATACTTTTAATATGCATAACAATACTATATAGAATGAATTATAAATTTGTAAGACAAAATATATTAAGATTTTATATTTAGAACCATATATAATCTCCAACTAGTTATTATATTAAGAACAGAAAATAACTTTTTTTTTTTTTTACCAATGGAGGTAGTATATTAATTTGCATCATATGATATAAACGTAATATTTTAACAGGATCATATTTCAGCGACATTAAAATTAATGTCAATAAAATTATTAATCAATAATCATTAATATTAATATAAAATTTATAGGAACACTACACCACATTTTAATACAGGGGTTCTCCCAGAAATGTTATGGTCTCGAGTGTAACCTAACTTCAGTATCAAACGAGTAGCTTCTGTGTCAAAACGAGTGGTTCCCAATCCCATAGTTTCTCACCGCGATTTTCTTGATACTAGGAAAGAAATATTTGTTTCAGACTTTCAGTTTCCCTATGCTTGATGCAAGAAAAATAAAAGAAACCCCCAGGGGTCATGAGCTCAATTTAAAAAATTAAAAAAGTGGGATTATAAAATTTTAATAAAATAATATAAAATAAAAAAGTAATAAAAATTAATTAAAAATTTTTAACTCTATTTTATCAATTTTTAAATTGAGCTAATCAAAATTTTTTCTCTCCTCTCCTCCTTCCTATTTCCTTCACATCAAATGGAGCCTTAGGGAAGGCAGCACTTTCCTTGACATTCCCCCTTCTTCCACTTATTAACTGTTAAATGGTTAAGATTTAATATCATATAATAATAATACTATTTTAATATTAATTGATGAAAAATGTGCATACATAAATTTAAATTATTAAAATTTGATATAAATAGTTGAGATCTTTACACTTCTATTAAAATATTATTTATTTTTATTTTTATAAGATATTAAATCTCAACCATTCAACTTTTTTTGGTGTAAGAAATCAATTATATGATTTGAAAAACAATAAAATATAAATAACTATGGCAGGTGAACATTGAAAATGAATTCCGTTTGCAAGAAACTATGCATGCTGGGTGACAAATTTTTAATTTTACTATTAGAATTTCTTTTGGGGAAAATTATGAGAATTAGAGTGGGCATAATATGCGCAACATAAAAAAAAAAATTACATTGTTTATGACGTTTATAAATGGTATAGTTTATCAGAACTTTAATATTGATACCACTCGGGACTGTTAGCTGAATCGAACCAAGCTAACATAGTCTGATATTCAAGGCTTCAGTCCAGGTAAGGCCACTCATTCTCAACTCATCAACGGGCCACGTTAGGACTCTCAGCTTTGAATACCAAATCTAGGATAACTGGAAAGATTGTCACCAAACACTCCTTCATGGATCGTGGTCGGATTCTATTTTCTGATGCACAGGATCCTCTTAAAGAGGCAAGTGCAGAGCATACTTAGAATCTCTGGCGACAGAAGAAAGATATCATAAGTGAGGCTTTCAGAAGAAGAGAGAAATTTAGAGAGAACTCATGAGGAAAGCACACTAGTATTATACAAGGAAGTCGATACAACTCCTTCTGCCTGTAACTGATGGCAGAGTGGGGTTTATATAGCGCTCGGGGGCACTACATGACAAAGTCCTAATAGTACACCTCATTATGACGGGTAGATGTAATAGTAGACGTCATTATGACTTGACATTTAATAATCACAACTGCTAACTACCAACTACTCTCATAATGACACCTAATAATGGCAACTACTCCACTTATTACAAGAGGACGAAATAGACTACAGGACAAACTACTTTAGTAAAAGTGGATAACGACATAAAGTAGGATTCTGGCGGGTCCCGCATTATCTTCAGAGTATCCCAAAAGGAGATTTTCTGATAATGATGTTCCCTAGTCTTTATAGATAGGCTCGTGGCTAGGGGATAGGTTCATGATGCCTTCTGGGTCAGGGTCATCTGAGTCATAGTGTCTCCTTGAGCTTCTTGAGTAGTAGTAGTCTTCGAGTTCTGGATCAGGGTCTTCTTGGTTAGGATCCTGGGATTCCCCTGCAAGGAATGGGAGTTGTGGCTGGAAACTTGGCTGAGGGAGATAGAGTCCTTCAGGCTGAGTGAGTTGAATTTGTGAGTCGTTGTCACCGTCATAAGGGTCTTCGGTGGCTTCTGTCGGTGGAGGGACTTGTGACCTATTTGGTGGAGGTCTGACAGCACTCAAGATGAAATCTCTCTGGAATTCTTCAAGTGTTGTGTTGCTGGCAGACGGTGAGTTTGGAGGGAAAGGTCCAAGAGATAGACATGAAGTGTCTTCTCCCGTGTCAGGCTGGTTAAGTGCAGTTAATGTCTTTCCAATTTTTTCCATTAGCAATGCTTCCCTTCTTGGCCATGAGGGGGTGGTGACCTGGAGGATCAGACGGTTGTCTGTGTAGAGCCTCTGGTTAGCACTTATTCCATAGTTCCTGAAAAAGGTATACAGACAGAAAAACCTTTTTTGTTTGGGAGTTGGTAAGTCCCAAATATTATGTTCTTTGAGAATTTTCCAGAGTTTTCCTCTCCAGTAGGGAAGAGGAGCTATCATCTCAAAGAGTGTGGTAAGAGGAGAGTTTTCATTTCTGATGTCATTCAGGTGGTCATGGACGACTACAGCTGAGAAGGCTATGGCACAGGTATAATTGGCTGAGACAGACCAGATGTACCATAAAAGTTCTTCTGGTATGGGTCCTTTGATAATGGGAACAGTGAGGTAAGGAGCATCGGCATCAAAGTGCTGAGGATAAGGGTGGATTCCAGTATCTACAAAAACACGGTGGAGCCAGTAGAACATAGTACTTCTGGCAAGGTTTTGGACATCTGCTGGAGATTCAGGACGGGATCCAGGAGGGAAAATGGTGGCTCTCATTCTGTGAGGCATTTCTGGTTCAGAGATGGTTAGGATGAAAAGAGGTTGAGGTCTGGAGAGTGACAGGAGTTTTGGAGGCTGGGAAACTTTCTGAGGTCTTGTGAGGAAATCTGCTATGATGTTCTGGTGTCCTTTGAGATGATGAACGGTGAATTTATAGCGAGAGAACCAGTCTTTCCATCGGAGTAACTGGCTGTCTGGCAAGGTCTTTCCCTTGGGATCAAGCATTCTTGGAAAAGACGTATTGTCCATTTCTACTCTGAATTGATAAGGACTGAGATGGAAGCTGAACTTCTCGATTCCTCTTTTGACAGCAAGGATCTCCTTGTAGGTAGCATGATAATGCTTTTCTGACTCCTTGAATTGTCCGCTTGCATGTCCACAGTAAAATCTCTTTCCATCTATCTCTTCAATTAAGACAGCTCCCCAAAAGTCATCACTAGCATCAGTCTGGAGGATTCGTAATCCTCTGTCAGGGATCTTTAAAGGAGGTGGTTGCTGTGCAATTCTTTTGAGGGTCTTGACAGCTGAGGTCTGCTCTGTCCCCCACGCGGGAGGATTCTTTTTGAGAAGTTTGGACAGCTGGCTGGTATGATTTGACACATGAGGGATAAAATCCCGAAGATAATTAATAATCCCCAGAAATTGTTGGATTTGCTTTGTGGTGAGATTATCGTCTGGGAATTTGAGTAATTCTTCTGCAATGTGTGGTCCAGGATAATACTGACCATTTTCAAAATGCATTCCAAGAAATTCTATGCTGTTGACACCTATTTCACCTTTCTTTGCCGACAACATAATCCCGTATTTTTCAATTATTTCCCCGAACTGGGTCAATAAAAGTTTATGGGAATCCTCATCTTTTGAGAAAAGTAAAAGGTCATCAATGTAAATGAGGAGGTTATCAAGCATAGGTTCAAAGATCCTGGTCATGGCCTTTTGGAATAGTGATGGGGCAACCTTAAGCCCAAATGGCATGACAGTCCATTGGTATTGGGCATTTGGAATACAGAAAGCAGTTTTGGGTCGATCTTCTGGGTGGATACCCAATTGCCAAAATCCTGCTTTGAGATCAAACTTGGAAAAGATTTTTGCATCTCTAAGATGGACTGTAAGTGAACTGGGCTTTGGTAAAGGGAATTTGTCATCTTGAAGAAAAATATTAAGAGGCTTATAGTCAATGACTAACCTTTTCTTCCCTCTTTTGATTTCTGATCTTTTTTCAACATAGAATGCCTGACAAGCCCAATTAGATTTTGTTGGTTCAATAAGGCCTTGTTTGAGAAGTGCAGCACATTCCTCTTTAGCGAGCTTGAGATCTTCTGGATTCATTCCTGGATGAGAGGCCTTTGTGGGGCTGATGTCTTCATTTTTCTTGAAGGGGAGTTTTATGAAAAACTCTTGGTTTTTCCATAATGGAAATGGATGAGAGAACTGTTGATGATTATCAGCACAAAACCTGAGAAGATGATCTCGAATATCTTCATATCCTGGTGGTGCCTGTTGGATCTCAAAGAGATTAGGAACTTCAGTATATGCACTAAAGAAATTTTTATATCTAATTCCTTTAGGCAGGACTTGAAGATTCCTAGTATGATTATAAGCATCAAATCCAATAAGAATGTCTTTTCCAGGGAGATCACTACCAAGAACTTTCATCCATAGGACACATCCTGGAAAGAATTGAATACCAATCTTCCTGCGAGTTATCCATTCAATCTTGAAGGGCTTTGAATCAGCAGTAAAGAAAAGTTGGTCACAAGGGATCCATGCTTCAGAGGGAAGAATATCAGGATTCATGATGGTTCTGCATGCTCCAGTATCAATAAAGGCAATAACAGGAATTGGCTTTTCATATCTTCCTGGAAGGATATGAATTTTGACATTTGGCTTAAGAGTGACTTTGTTGTGTTCTGGCTGAGAAGCCACGGAACCAAGGAAAGGAGACGGATGCACAGGCTGTTCAAGGGAATATAAATACCCTTGAGGACTATCATCTTCTTGAGAAAAGGATTCAGAATCAGTTTCCTCATCTTCAGAGTAAGGAAGAATATATTGTGTCTCTTCATCCTGAGCATCTTGTTCTTCGATCACGGATTCTACATCTTCATCTTCATTGATCATGAGAACAGTCTGCAAATGTTCTAGCATTTTGACATCCTTTTTTGTCTTGTTAGGACAATTTTTTGCAAAATGCCCCTTTTTCTTGCATATGTAGCACCTGTCAGATTTCTTTGAGTAAGGTCTGCGCCTCCTGAAGTATCTCAGGAAAGGCTTTCTGGATCTTCTCCTGGAGTAAGAACCCTTTGGATATCTGAATCGACGATAGTGAGATTTTCTCTTGGTAGAACAAGAGCAATCTTTATCATCCTTGCACTTTATTTTCAGATGTTGTTTCTTGCATGCATGCCTGAGCTTTGACTGTCCTTTCAGCATTCCTTTGAAGAACTTCTGTTGTTCACAGAGCTTATCCACAGTTGCTAATGCCAACTGATATATTTCTCCAATGGAAATGTCAGCCATGTTTCTATGGAGTGCATTGATAGCTCTATGAAGTTCTGGTTGTAATTCATCTGGAAGAGAGGCAATAAAAGTATGCCTGAGATTGACATCATTGGCTCCTCCAAGCATGTAGTATTTTTCAGACATTCTCTGGAAATGTTTCTGCAAGTCTCTTTTGTCTAAAGAGCAGCATTTCATCTCAAAGTATTCTTGGCGATGCCTTTTGTTAATGATCTGGAAGTCACCAATGAATTCCTTATGAATGAGTCCTAGGAGAGTTCCTGCATTATCAACTCTGGCTGCTGCTATCTTCTGGTAATCGCTGAGACTTTGATACCATTCTCTTAATGTTCCTGTTAGTCTTGAGAGAAATTCTGTAAGAACTTCCTCAAGAGTTGCATCATGCCTGGCAAGCTGCAGGTCAATCCATGCTCCGAACTCATGGAGTCTGTCTCTCCATTTTTCCGGAGGGAGATCATCAAAAGTGAACCATGGACCTGTAGTAGGTTTATAGTCTGTTCTTCTTGGCTCAGGTGTTTGAGGAACAGATGGGTCTTCATCAATAGGATCTTCAACTGTGGGATCTGGCTGGACCATTGCTACTTTAGAGATATCAGCATGATATATCTCCGGATCAGAGTTAGAACTGTACTCAATAGAGGAATCAGATTCAGGTTCAGAGGTTCCATCTGTTGATGACTGATCTTTATCCACAGTTTGGAAAGTGGCTATGGTTTTGTTTGGATCTGCAACTTCTTTTCTTTTTTCTCTGTCTGGAGGAGGAGTTTGTTTTGGTGGAGATGATGGTGGAGTTCTTATCACAACTCCTTGAGAGGACGGTGTTGGTTCAATAGGTTTAGTATATGAGGATGATGGGTAGAAAAGTCTTTCAGATGAAGGGAAATGAGGTGGTCGTACTGGAGGTTTGGGAGGAGGGTTTGGTTGGATGGGTGAAAGAGTTGGTTGTCGGGGTTTTCTCAATTGTCTCAAAATAGGATAAGACATTTTGAAAACCTTGCTGTAATCAGATTCTCTGGGATAAGAAGGAGGTGATGCTGGGTATGTGGGGAGTTGAAAACTAGAGGGGTAAGATGGATAAGGGTCATAGATGGTTTGTGAATGATCTTTAGCTATATCTGACTCGATTCTTTGTAAATCCTTTCGGATTTGTGACAGTTCTTGCTCTTTCTTGGTAAACTCTGGTCCAATGTATCCCTTTTCGATAAATCTCTTCAGATCTGCATCCAGTTGATAAGCCTGAGAAGTTAGAGTCATATAAAGCTGTTTGACTTGATCAGAGACTTGGTCAAGCCTGCTCGTCAGAGTATCAGTTCTGAGAGTCAGCAGGTCAAGCTTTGAATCAATCTTTGTCAGAGTTCTATTCTGGCCGATCGCATTCTGGGTCTGCCAGTTAAGAACTTCTTCTGCTGCTGAGACTGGTCTAGCTTCACCAGTAGGAGAGATTTCTGTTGGAACAGAGAAAGGTCTTGCTGTAACCTTTGTTTCTCTGTTGGTTCTTCTTTCAAGAGGAGGAAAATCCTGCTCATACGGATCCATCATTGCTATACACGGGATGGATTGTTGGATGACAGGAATCACTGGATCTGGCTTCTGTTTAGGGAGGAGATTTTCGTGACCTGTTTCCTTAAGCAGATCATATAGAGATAATCTGTTAGAAGGAACAGTAGGGACAGGAGCCTTCCAGTTTCTAGCTTTCTGCTTCGGACCATGATCATCATCATCATAGTGGTGATGGTGACGTCTGTGAGAACAAGGAGATGTATTCTTCTCCTTTCTCTTCTTTTTTATGGCATATCTGATGGGATAAGACCATCCATCTTCATCTTCATCGTCTGATGCTTCCCACCAGTAAGGTGTATCACACTCACAATCAGGATCACATTCTTCTGGTGCATGATCCCAAATGAAGTGGCCATTTATGTGAGACACATAACATGGCTTGGCATTCTGGTCTACCCAAGCAATTGGAGGGTCTCGCTTAGAGGGAAGATAGGCTGGAGTGATGGTTAAAATTCGTCCAGAAGGTACAGAAGAACCTTCCTGGCCAGGCTTGGTGAAGACAGTTTTGACTGTGCCGTCTGGAAGTCTTTTTATCTCAGGAGGAGTAGAAGTATGAACATCCCTTTGAACACCATGAAAGTGTTTCTCATAGTTGGTGATCCACTCAAGAGGCATCAACTGAGCAAGTTCCTCTTTTGGGATCTGTCGAGGAATCTGGATGATGGAGGTATCATCAGCTCTATCAGAAACCACATAAAGAGCATCTTTAGTGGAGTTTGGAAAATGAAGATCAAGAGCATGATTCTGGAGTCTATAAATGACTTGATGATGAAGAGTTGCTGCAATAGCTCTGGGATCTTGCTCTGCTCCAACTATCTGGACTTGGATTTTTAGTCTGTCCGTCAAAGTTGGATCTGAAAGCTTGATGTTGAAGTCTGGAGCCATAGTAAGGATGACACTACCGTTGCTAAGAGTGGTCAGTACAGCGCCAATCAAAGCATTACTGTAGGTAGTATAAGTAGTATCGACTAGAGCAACTTTAGCAGTGGCTGGGATTCCTTTTCTCCCATGGAGAGTAAGGATAAGACGTACAGCACCAATATGGAGATGAGTATAACCTTGGGCTATCCACTCATTGATCAAAGGTTGAGGTATATCAATATTGACGTACTGTTCAGAGGAAGAGGCAGGAAGACCACAGTTTTCTAGTCTGGTAGACTGGACAATTTCTTTAACATGGGGTCTTCGGGTGGAAATCAGGTTTCTAACATTTCTGGTGACACGGTTGGTACGATGATAAAGACTGTAAGGACTGAGAAGAGGTAGATCTGTTTCCTGAACTCTAGCATCTTCAGGAAGATGATCTATCTCAACAAGGTTCTCTATTTTTCTGGAAAGAGTTCTACGAACAGAGGAAGGAAGTCTCTGTGGGATGAAGGAAGAAGAAAGACGAACGGGTTCAAGGCTGTTTGAGGTTTCACTCATGATAAGATGATATCTTCTTACTCACCTTCACAAATAATATCTCACTTCTGTCAAGATTGTGCAGGCTCTGATACCACTCGGGCACAACTTCATTCTCTGTCATTTCTAATTCTTAGGTGCATGAATTGATAACTAATAATTTCAATTTTTTTTCCTGAAATTTTTCCTATTCTATTTTAAAATGAAATTAAATAAATGAAAAAAAAAAATCCTCGAAAAGCATTCATTTTGAGCGGGTAAGAGATGGTTCTAGAACGTAACTCCAAGCAGTGCGTGTTAAATTTCTTGCTCTTGACCACCCGCTGTCTCTCCTGGGCTAAAAAATATTCATTTTGATCGAGACTTCCATTTGCTTCGCTCTTCAGTTCTCGTCTATCCTCAATCCGGTGACCATGGGAGGAGGCAACGGTCAGAAGTCCAAGATGGCTCGTGAGAAGAACCTTGAGAAGCAGAAACCTGCTAGGGGTATTCTTTTTTCAGTTTATATTCATCCCTCTTACTCTATATTCTCTAGTCTTTTGCCTTTGAACAAATCATAGATCGATCTATTTCTTGTCTGAATTTTGTGGCTTTCGCTGAATTAATTGTCTAGGAAGCCAGTTAGAGTCCAACAAGAAGGCTATGACTATCCAGGTAGTCCCTTTGCATGCTTCTCTTTGGATTTCCCATCTAAATTGTCCATAGATTTATGTTTGGTTTGATTTGTTGTATGCCATGTGTTGCCTGAGCATTTCAGCTTTTGATCACAGAGAAATGGATTTTAACATTGGTTAATTACCTCATATGGTTGTAACGGGGGTGCTGTCCTTGACTTCAGTTTTGGTGATCAGTCTTTTGATTCTCAAGATTATGTGATTTATGCTTCCAGATTGCCGATAAGTTAGTGTCTATGTATATTGCCCGCTATAATTGGGAATATTTGCTTTGCTCTCTTATTAGATGAGATGGGCTTGGCATAGGTATAGGCGTATAGTAATATGTATTCTTTTACCCATTTTAATTTTCTTTATCTGTGATATCTTTTTTACAGTTCTGCTTAGGGAATCATTTGTTAGCGCCAATCGTTTTAACTCCCTGTTTTGTAGTTTCTTCATGTTTTTGATAACTTCTCGGCAACGGTCCGTGCATCTTGAACTGGATTTACTGCTCTATGCAAATTTAGAATAGTTATAAGCTATAGTTTAACTCGTTTTGACTACTCTATTTGAAAAATGATCATATGATCATTTCTTCGGTGAGACTAAAGCCAGAACTATAGTTACTGTATCTCCTTTTTGTAGCGCGGGCGCGCACACACACGTACGCACACACAGATGCACATGATTATATGAAGCATGCTTTCTTATCTATTTAAGATTGGATTCACCTACGTATTTAAGACAGATTTATCATTTAAATTGTGTGTGAAAAATACACATTTTCTAATGTCAAGTTGGCAGCTTTATTCCATTTTGTAATCATGAAACAGTTTGCCAATGTTGCAGCAGTCCATTTCATTTTGCTTGTAAATTTTTCGCATCTCGTAATCACTTGATGATGTTGTTATCTTATTGTGTTAGAAACTTTGAATCACTCCATAAAGCCCTTCAATATAAATTGTGACTGTTTATTTTCTTCTTGCAATCACCATCTGTAAAAAATGGCTGGTTTTTGGAATGATGAATCCGGGCTACCATGAATATTGGATGCAGTGCAAGGTGTGCATGCAGACATTCATGTGTACCACAACTGAGGTTAAGTGTCGAGAACATGCTGAAGCAAAGCACCCAAAGTCTGACATTTATACATGTTTTCCTCATCTTAAAAAGTGACTGTTTGATTGCAAAGTGAAAGCTTGTGGATTGATATTTGGAGAACTTGCACATACTGTACGTTGTTGTTACATGACAAACTTGGTTAATGGAACTATCTATCTAATCAAAAGAAGTCTTTATGCCATTACCAAATATAAAAACACATTAACAAGGGAGAAAAGGGAGGATCATTTTAGAGTGTGCTTGTTAACGCAGTATGATTGGAAATGGAGGGGTGAAAATGGAAAATCAAGTTCTGCATTAACACCTGGTCTATTTCCAGTTTTCCGCTCCTCTGATGTACTGTTTACCCTGTTCTCCTCATAAAACAGCGTATCCTTTTTTTTTTTACCTTGATAAAACAGCGTATCTTAACAAGTAGAATTCAAGCATGTTAGGGAGTACCGTGTAATTAAAGGCCTAGGCTTAAGTTGCTATATTGATTAGTAGTCTGTTTTTAAAATTGCTCAGATATGAGTATGTGGAAGTTTTTTTTCCCTTGTGTTCTTTTTTTTTTAAAAAAAAATTGTGGCGAAGCTTAGCTATGTATGCTTGCGTCATGCTGCTTCCAATTTTCTTGAATGCCCTTTCAGTGTCACGACCATAATTAATGAGGTTTAAAACTCATTAATTTTCTTCGGAAGTGAAGGTTTTCAATTTTGTCTTCATTTAAATGTATTCTCTAGTCTTATTTGTAGGATTTTTATAATATGTTTTACACATTTTAATAAAAATATTAAATGTATTAAATTTTTAATAAAATATAATAAATTTTACATTTATTCCTATGCGCCTTTTGAGGGGGAAAATCTATCTACTCTTTTGGTTAGATATGGTGGGGGTGGAGGTTTTTTTTTTTTTTTGGCTATCTATAAATCATTTCAGATAACTGTGAGTATAAATGTTTCATACAAATTAAAATTTTTTTTAAATATATTAATTTTCTATTAAAATATGATAATTTTGAAATGTATTCTTATTTAATATGTATATCTTTTGAGGAAAAAAACTATTTACCTTTTGGAAGAGTTTTCTTCGTTTATTTATAAATTATTTTTGCGAATCCATTATCTCTCTCTACCTCAGATGAGACCAGCAATTTCGAAAACATGGAGCAATAGAATATGGAAGAGAGGTAATAAATGTCGCAGATGCTGCTTTATAAAAATGATTAAAAATTTCGGAGTAGCGCGTAAAAACCAAACATGGGGGCACTCAACCTGAATCAATCCTAAATTCCTATATTATGTAACATATGAAAAATAAAAAGTATGATTTACAAGCTAAGGTAAATGAAATTAATTTCAGATTTTATACAAATGCATAATGTCTATTCTAGTAAAACATAAACATGTACGCCTCGTTTAATATTCCTTATGAAAATGTATTGTGCGTTTGGTTGAGGAGTGAAATGACGTTAGATGGGCAAAGGGATGATAGGAGGCTGGGATGAAAGGAGAGATTATGATTTAAATTTACCATATTAATTTTATAGATCAAAGAGCTATAAACAGAAAAGATGAAACTGAAACTGTCACAAAATTCAAGAGAAATGATTAAACATAAAAAAAGTCACTAACGTCCCTAAATAAATAGACAGAGGTTGATACAAAGATACAATTCAAAATAATACCTTCAAGATTTGGCCACCGGGGGCAAGATTCAATACCATACGTTACAGACACGTTAACATATCAAATATACTCTTTCAGTTTTTAATATAGAACTTAATTATTGAGTTAATTTTGATTCTAAATATATGATCTATTTCTCATATTTATCGATTTTTTTTCTAAATTACTCATATGGATACTCTTTCAACTATAACTAAGTAGAAGATGGAAGAAAAATATTAAGAAAGATGATTATGTTATTTTAGAAAAAACTTGTCATATTTTTTTATGATTAACTAACTTACCTAACTTCATTAATCTAATCAAATTAATTAAATATATTTTATATTAAGGACATAAGTAGTACTTTTTTAATGAAGCATGCTTTATATTTTGATTCATGCCCACAAAATATGGTTATGTGAATTGCAGACCTCTCAATTTGCTGCTAATTATATCAAAACAGGAATCTAGTAGCTCTCTCGTGAAGCACTCTGCATCAAAGATAATTCTTCTCCAGCATTCGAAATCTTTGAGGTCGAAAGAAGCTCAACAGAATCCTCTTCCTTAATTTCTGGGTCATCCAGCTCTGACAAAACTGAATGAGACTGTAAACAGCAATTGGAAAGGAAGGAAGATGGTTCTGCTTCAAATGCTAACCACTTTCTCCTTCTTGCTTGAACCAAGAGAGGTTGAAGGATAAATCCCACGGCAATTATTGCTACACTTACAAAGAAGGTTCTCCAAGTAGCCAAACACATAACAAGAATAAGCAAAAGAGCAGAAGGCAGGCACATCATGGCTGCCCCAAATGTTTGCAGAGGAATTTTATATGGTCTATGAAGATCTGGCTGCTTCACCCGCAGTGCTATGAAAGCTGCGAACTCAAGAAGCATTCCAAAAGCATATAAATAATTGAGGAGCTCCACAATTTCGAGGAATGTCATCCATGACAAGAAGATAACTCCAGTGGCTGACAAGAGAATGCTGATAGTAGGAGTACCATACTTGGACCTGGATGGTAATACCAAATAATTGTTAGAATGTTGAAGCTGTTCCATTCAACCAATTACTTATGTCAAATTTCATCTTGCACTTGGTTAGGTTAGGTCTAAAAATAAGTTCAAAATCTCTGGAAAAAATTTCTTACCTTTCAAAGTTGTTTAGCCTATGTCGATTCATCTTTTTTTTTTTCCAAAAAAAAAAATGATGCTGTATGGGCACCTTAATTTCCCAATAGCTTGGAACTTGGATATACAAAGTTCAGCAGTAAAATATATAAACATGTGGAACACACAAGTTTTGATATTTTTCGTCAGACTTATATCCAAACACTTCTTGAGAAACTAAAATGCTTACTTTAAGCACTAGAAACTAAAGTGGAGGGAAAAGAACATCTTAAGTATCAGGATAGAACTAGTCTGGAAGTTCTTATTTCAGATTCCATGCCACATCAGTCATTCCTCGACAGATAAAAGAGGTTATTATCAATGAAATTTGATTCTAGAGGTTATACGTGAAGGAGAGAAAGGAAAGAGTGAACACGTAGTCCCTGAATTATATGATTAAGAAAGAAAAATCAAGTATAGTTTCAGTTCAGACCTTGAAGCAAATACAGCTGGAAGAAATCCCATCTTGCTCATCCCAAGAAGTTGAAAAGCATCAGAGGACATCTCTGCTTCAAACAAGCCAAGGTTAGACATGGCAGCAGCTACTTGAATCCATAGTTTGAGCCAAAAGCCACCTATTGACATTCCAACTTCAGCAAAATAACCATCTGCCCACTCACTAGGCTCAGATCTGAAAGCACCTGTTCCGGCAAGAAGAGGAACCAAATATGAGGAGACCACTAGAACTACGGCTCCAAGAAGTGCCTTTGGAAACGTTTTACTGGGATTGTCAATCTCCCCTGCAAGTGTACTTGCCTTGTCCCAATAGTTCAAATTCCAAAACATACTATTAAAGTATCCTCTCAGATCCACCACCTTGAAATTTACAATAAGCCAACGACTTGGCCTAATTCTGGGAATGGCAAGAATAGCCATTATCAGAAATGGGAGAAGGGAGAAAACTGCAAGCAAAATAGCAGAGAACCCAACAACGTGAAGGCCACGGTAATTCAAGTAAGTGAGCAAAATCGTAATCCCTAACAGAGCTGGGATTCTTGCAATCGTTTGGTCAAAGATTGGCAATGAATGCTTCAAGTAATCCAAGAACAAAACTGGGTAAAGAGCATTATCCATAACCCCACTAAACCATTTCCAGAATCCTTCCTGAAAACCCCAGAAAGGTCCAAAAGCTGATGATATCCAAATAACATATCCGCCATTGTCGGGGAAGCTTGTGGCAAGTTCGGCAGTTATCAGGGCTTCAGGGATACTCCAGATTAGAGGGAATATCAAGAAACCAAGCAGCGACAAGAGAGGACCACCTCCAGCCCTAATCGAATCCTCTACTCCAAAAGGACCGCCAGAGACTTCATAGAAGATCAGAGCTATGAGAGGCAGTAATGTTAGTTTTGGATTCGATTTACTCACATCGCTAACCATCCCCAATCCAACCGATAATAGAGAGGTGAGGGGTGATTAAGATTTGAATTCTTTTGACTCACCCGGATGAATCAAATACAGCAGAACTGATTATTTCTATACATCGAGGGGTCTCTGGCAATGGGAGGGCATTACAGTTCAATCTTCCCAGCTTAATTCCAGTCAAACAGGCGCCGAAGCAGATTTTCTCATATAAAAAACAGAAAAATTACCTCTTTGCAAGGATTACTAGCGAGTGGCTGCCTCGTTTCAGAGCCAATGATCCGTTTTCTCCACGGATGGGAATCTATTACCATCGCTTCCTCTAGCATACAAATCATGTAAAGTTCCAAAAGAAAAGGGTTGACTTCTTTTGATGTTCGTGCTCGAGCCGCCCCTCCATGTGATGGTGAAGAATCAATCAATGCGTCAATTACACATTCCCTTTTGCTTCACAAAATTTGAAAAATGTGAGGCTACAGCCTACAATGTTACGTGATTTGTCATATATTCAATATTTTATATTAATAATAGATGATTATATAGATTATAGAGTATTACTGTAATTGATCATTAATTAATCTGTAATAAATTTATGAAAAATTATATTATAATCCATTTCTTACATTACGATATAGTGTAAAAACCAGAAGTCAGCTTTATTGTTAACCAAAGTGGTTTACTCGTTAAGTGCAGTGCCGCAGCGTAGGTTTAAAGACAAGATTTTCAAAAAAGTTCAATAATGCGTTAGGAACAAAAAGAATTTTTCATTGTCAAACATTGATTTTTAAAGCGTGGATAATCCATTAAGCACAAGATTCATTAAGAGGGTGTTTGGATGAAAACCAAACCATGGTTTGGAGAATAGCTTCTGGAGAATAGATTCTTGAGAGAATAGATTTCGTGAAAAAGTGATTCTGATAAAGTAAGAATGTTTGGATAGTTGTTATCAAAAGTATTTTTTATATATACAAATTACTAAAAAAATA